TCACAGTCACGGGTGACCACTTTGCCATCTTTGCTTTTGATGGAGTTTGGTTTATTTGGTCACTGTACCTATTCGTCTCCGTAACGAGATGCATCCAAAGGTCTTCATTAAAGATATGCTCAAATGCCTGCAGCGGTGTGGCGTCTGCAGGCAAATCAACCTTCACTCCAGGTGTGCGGTTGAAAACACTCCGTGCATTGCGGTGGTAGTTCTCCGTCTTCCAGTCACTATCAAAACCTTCAAACTCATCGTCGCTAGCGTCCGGCTCGTCGTCTTCGAACATATGTCTTAACCACAAATCCCGGTCGATTGGTTCAGCGCGTTCAAAGTCATCATTTTCATCTATACCCTCAAAGCCGACACACTCCTCAAAATCACTGCCTTCGACAACTCTTCTCTGTCAAACTCCTCCATGTTTGCTTGAAACAAACTTCTTTCTTCTTGCTTGACTTATAAGCTCTCCCGGCGTCAATGGTAGAATTACACAACAGCGCCCCCGGCTTGAATGGTAGAAATGCGGTAATGCTTTCCCGGCCTAAATGGGTTAAAAGGATCAAGTATTCAGCGGTTCTTTGATTTCCCTCTGGAGGCTTCTGCGTTTCATTCATAACTCAAATCTGGGATTCAGACCTGCTAAAACAACCAGAACAATCTTCCAGTGAGGAGCAGCTTCACGGTTTTTATCACCTGCAGGTCGCAGTAGCAGCCTGCCGGTAATTTCTCCACTGCTCTCCTAATGAAGTCCGGCTCCCAAACGGTTCGACTCGATATCCTGACGTTTGCTGAGTCTGAATTTAGTAGCTGCGTCTCCTGAAGGCCAGGTTCGTCGGCCGATTACGTCATAGCGTGGCGCTGAGGCCTGTTTGGATCGGAAGACTCCTCGTTAAGCGGACGAAAAATGCAGCCTTCTTTTTGCACGTTTTGAAGGAAGGTTCCGCTGTATCCTCCATAGCCTTAGGTTTCCCATGATTCCTTGGGAGTCTAAGCAAGCTGGCTGCTCTGTGCACCTGCGTACCCCTTACAAATGGATCCCCCCCCCCGTCCCTCAGCAAGGTCTAAAACAGGGGTCACCAACGTGGTGCCTGTGGGCACCAAGGGGCCCTCAAGGACAACATGGGGGGCCCTCAGCATCTTTTGAAAACAGAACAATTCACCAGCGGACTAAATCTGAAATGTTATTTTTTACTGAAGCTCTTATTTTGAAGCATCTATGAAGCATTTTATCATATCAATAAATTAGAACATTTGAGGATTTATATGGATTTCATAATGAGAATATCTAAAAGCAAATTAAAAATGAAAAGAAACAATAGAAATATGTTTATTATCTATGAAGTTCAGGTGAACGCCGACTCTTCCAGTTCATAGGTCAGTATTGGTAGCCCGTCCTATGAATCAGTAGCCATAAAATAGCCCTCAGCCTTAAAAAAGTTGGTGATCCCTGATCTAGGAGCACAAGATCTATATCCAGCCATTCAGCAAAGATACTGCTACATGGCTGTAGATCTTCTTTTGGCATTTTACCAATTAGATGAACCCTTTAATGATAGATTACCTACTGGAAAAAAAAGGTAAAAATTAATAAGCCTCGTTAACAATTTTATTTATGTCTATAAACTAATAAATGTAAGTGACAGTATCAGCATTAATGCCTATAAGGTTATGTTGGACAAAAAATAATAATTCTCACTCTGAGTGTTTTTTTTTTATTTCTTATTTTGTTTGTTTTTGTTATTTTTCTTAGGTAATAAGGTCTTTTCCTGGATTCTAATTAAGCTACATGCTTGAAATTTAGATTTTCAAATGATTTCCCTGAGTGCGCTATAAAAGTTTCAGCATCTCTGCAGAGATTTACATAATCTGCAGAGAATTAAATAAAAATAATAATAATAAAGAGGCAAGTTGGTTATTTAAAGGACAGCAAGGAATAATCAATGGATCATTATTTATACCTAAAACTAATACGTTCTAATCTACTAATAGGTGTTTCTGTGTGTTGACCAATAGAAACGAGTCTGCTCTCTGAGGACGTTAGAAAAGGCATTTCTATTGGTCCTCGCACAGACCTGTTAGAGGGGAACCATTCCACAATAACTGAAATTATAAAGCTAAAAAAAAAAAACCCCAAAGAACTGTAATAGCATAAGTTGATATTTCTTAGAAAGCTTACAAATTGCTCCTGAAACCTTATTATAGATTGAGATTTTCTTAAAAGTTCAATGTTTTTACTATAATTTTCTTTACATTTTTGGTTTCATTAATTCTGGAACAAATTTCTCTCCATAGCTTAATGACATTTTGTTTAGCGTCGGTGCTCCGTGTCCGATTGTTTGTGCATCAAGTCCTGAACAGTTTAAAGCTTCTTTCTGTTTCACAGGAAAACCTCCAAGGTCGACAATCTGTTGTTCAAAGTGGAAAAGATGAGAGGAGAACAGGAGACTGTCAGGTAAACTCTGCTGCTCTTTTCTTTTCTATTAGTGATCTGAAAATCTGGACAGATTATCAATTTGCTGTTATTGCTGCTAATCAGTGTTAATCCTACTCTCAAGTTTATAAATTTCCTAATGTTTAGACATCATGATGAAAAGCAGCTGCATCACAATCATCGTCACACGATAAAACGAAAGATCCCTCCTCCTTTAAAAAACGACTAAAGCTCCTGTCACACCTTGACGATTTAGACCAGCGCATGCCGGACGAACAAAAAATCTGCCGAAAACGCTGCCATACATTTTGTATAAACAAGGTGAAGCACCCAAAAAACACGCCGGCACACATCGACATACAGAAAGTACGTCAAGCTAGGTTAATACCACGATGTGCCAGCGTATGCTCATACATGGGCCGTCAGTTCCAGGTCAGTTATCTGATGGTTGACTTACGTTCAGTATCAGTTCCTCATCAGTCGTGGCGTCTAGCTCATCCTAAACCTCTGCGTAACTGCGGCGTAACTTATCCAGAACTTCTCTCCAACGCATATCCGCGTATATGACGTGTTCCAGACGAGCGCTGAACGTGTTTCTAACTTCCAGCTACTGTATAATG